AACCGGATGTGCGGTCACAGACCAGAGCAGCCTCTTCGGCTCAGGGAAGTGCCAAAATGGGGAAAGGGGGAGGAGACACTGGCTCTGAAGGAACAGAAAAGCCTGGTTGGGACCTTCTGACACGTGGGTGGACATCTGGGGGAACTGGCCATGAGCAGCGTGGATGTGGGACCAAAGCTCGGACGGCAGGCGGGGCTGGTCACCCGCCCAGAGCTGACGAGCACTGTCTGCCAGGAGGGAGAAATGAGGTCACAGGAGGTGACAAAGTGAGAATGACTCGGGCCAAAAATTAGCAACTTTGGGCTCGGCACTGCAAGTGGATCTTTCCTAAGCTTCTGGCTGTTTCTGTTGGTTCTACGAGCATTTGGCATGGCATAGATTGGAGTCCTGGCGAGTTCAGTGAACTTGACATTTCCGTCGAAGCCCCTAACCTTTTGAGTCCTCTACATGGCTACTTTTCAGTGCTAAGCAAGACTCAGGGCACCAGACAGCTGACCAATGCCAGCAGCTCGGGGACAGCGACAGTGACCGGAGGAGAGGGACCAGGGCCGGACCTCTCCTCAGAGCAGTGGCATAGACTACACTCTGCTTTCTCTCAAAAAGTGGCTACAGAGGACAGAGCGGTGGCCAGCACAGACAGCAGAGGTTTCCTTGGGATCAGAAAAAAAGTCAGGTTTTAAATTTAGTCTTTTCCCCAACTTGGGACCCCGAAAACATCCTTAGAGCCCAGTTTCCCCAGCTTTTCCTTCTTGGATCCACCGGAGCAGCCAGCCTCCTCTTCTGGCTTTGCGTGCGTGCAGCCCCCACCACCTTCCCTCCCGACGGCTCGGTCCTCTGAGACCGCGGAGGCCCCTGGTCTGGCCCCCGGCCTTTGAAATCAGGGGAGGGAACGAGATGAGCAACAGACGGAAATCGTACCGCTTCGGCCAGAAAGGGCTCACGTGGAACCCAGTCAGAATGAGGGAGAGCAGCCACGCGGCCCCCCGACACAGCCCTCCTCGCTTCGGGGGACACGAGACGAGAGGGATTGGGGGGGTGTGCGCTCCCTCCAGGACGGTCAGGGCGACGTCAGCTAGAAAGATGCACAAACGCCCGGGGTCCTGAGACCGTGCAGGACAAACTACGAAGCGGAGGAGGACAGCGTCTTAGAGCCGCGGCCGTGGGCGGTGTGACTGGGAACAGTTGCCCGACGCCTCATCTATCGATCTCACGGTGCAAACGCCCCGGCTGCTGAAAAGCAGCGCCATGCCCGCAGCGGAGTCCGTGGAGGGACGTGTGAGCCCGCACGCTTCACGCCACCCGCCCCGTCCTTCGCCCGCGCCCTGCTGCTTCGGAAAGGACGGCGACGCCCTTGCTGCCGCGTCCTGCTCTGCCCAGGCCCCGCTCTGTGACGGCCTGGGCCCGCACCCCCGTCCGGCACCCGAACCGCCCTTTCCCGTCGGCAGCCCCGCAGTCCTGTGCTCCTCCCCGCCGCCCGCCCAACCGCCTGCCCGCGCCGTCCCGGCGGCCTAGCGCAAGAGGCCCGCCAGACCGGGCAGGACAGCTGTCACAGTCGACGCTCGGGAGTGCGCCACGCGGCCCGGGAACGTGGGCTCGAGTTTAAGTTACCTCTTTGGGCTTCCGATGCCAGTCCTTGCTCTCGCCAGGGCCCCCGTCCTTGGCCTCGTCCTCGCCGAGGCCCACGCGGTTGCCGTAAGTGATGGTGCGCCAGTCCCGGGGCGAGTTGGAGATGCTGGCGATTTTGGATTCCGTGGCACTGTTCTCCTCCGTCAGCGACCTCGAGGACGGCCTGGCGAAGAGGCTTTTCTTCAAGGCCTTGACGCGAAGGCTCTCGCTGTTGCTCCCGCTGGCATCCGAGCAGCACCAGTCGGCGCTGTTCTCCAGTTTGGGCCCGTGGGAGCCGCTGTGTGCACGGAACACCCGGGGTGAGGCGCTCTCGTCGGATGGAGCCTCGCTGGTCAAGGAGTTCAGATCTGCCTGCACGCTCACCTTCTCAGGCTGCTGCATCTTCTGATCCAGCTTATTCAGTTTGCCCAACACCTGGGAGATTTCCTCGCGGACGCCCGACAGTGATTCAAGCTTCCGTTCGATTTCGCCGATCCGGAGCACCAGTTTGCACACACTGGTCTTCAGCTCCTCTTCCGAGTGGTGGCTGCTCTCAGGCCGGTTTCCCTTTTCTCCCTTGCTGCCGGGAAGCCCGTTGGTGATTTTCACTATATTGTGCTCCGGTGAACTGTCACAGTCCGACTTGTGAAGCTGGGACAAGGACCCCGTGCTGTTGTAGCAGGATGACTGTATCACTCCTGTCGAGCCACTGATACTCATGTCATCAAGAAATCGGAAAATGTCACTGATGTCATCGCTGACGATTTCCGAGTCATCATCGGACTGCTTCGTGTACTTGCCCTGCCCCGAGGCACACAGGTCCCTGCGTTTCTTGGTCTCCGGCACGTGCTGCTCGGTCTGGGTGCCCACGCTGCTGGTGTCTGAGCTGAGCTGCCCGCCCGTGCAGCCGATGCTCTTGTCCTTGAACTTTTTGACCGGCTCGTGCTTCTCCAGGTCAGCAGAGGCCGATATCTCTTTAGGTTTGAGCCCGCCGGGTTTTGCCACATAGCCAACGGGGCGCATTGGCTGTGGATCCTGTGGCGTGAGGTAAGCCGGGCGCCGGTCCGGGGCTGGGAAGCTGGGCGACTGGCCGCTGGGACTTGGGTAGCGCGGCTTCTCCTCAGAAGGGTTCCTGTTGAAAAAGGACCGTTCGAAGTCAGGGACTTCTTCCGTGTTTAGGCTCCAGCTTTTGGCCGGCCACGGCGTCTGCTTGCTGGGCCTCCCCGGACAGCGCCTGGCGTCCTGGGTCCCCGTCACGGGAGTGGGTCCAAAGTACGTGGAGGCCTGAAGGTCGTCTAAGCTTTCATGCTTCGCCCGCCTTCTGTCAGGGACGGGGGAGCACGCGGGATTCAGGTACTGGCTGCTGTAGGGCATCTCGAAGCTGTGATTAAAGAATGGTGTCTTGTGGGGCTCCTTCCGGCTCTGGGGCTCCCCACGCGCCCCCTCTGCCTCGTGAGCGCGGCCAGCCAAGCCAGGGGACACGGCCATCAGATTGTGAAAGTCCTCTTTGAAGATGTTCCTTTTCTGGACACAGGACTGGCCCACGAAGGGCTCGTCACTGGAGACGAAGGTGTCTTTGACGCCCGGGGCGCTGGGCAGTGAGAACTGGTCCGAGGCGCAGTCGCTGTCGAGATTCATGGGGAAGTAGGTTCTCTGCATCTCGCAGGGCCGAGGGCTGCCCACCGGGAACGGGGCCAGGGCCTGCAGCCTGTCCAGGGACGCGGCACGGGCCTTCGCCTCCCTGCCCACGCCCAGCAGGAAGTTGGGCTCCGCGGCGGGCACGAACTGCGGGCAGTCCCGGCAGCCCGCGTCACAGCCCCTGGACGGCTGCCGGGCGGGGGGGGCCCGGCCGAAGGGCCTGTCGCCCCGGCTGCAGTCGAGGGGCTCGCACTCGGCCGCGCCGCAGACCTCGGCGTCTGACCGGCACGATTCACAGGACGCCTCCTTGCGCGCCTTCGGCCGGCCGCCGGGCAGCTTCTCCCTGGTGGCCCCGCCGTTCATCTGCAGCAGGTTGAATATGGTCACGATGTCTGCCGCCACCATGATTTTCTTTGACTGCTGGTGGTTCACGGTGCAGTTCATCTTGTCTTTGAACAGCGTGGCGGGGAACCCGGGGTCGAGGCAGGCCGTGTAGAAGAGCACACTCCTCAGCTTGGCGAGCTGCGGCAGGTCGAAGCGGGCGCACAGGGACTTGCACAGGTCCTGGTAGGAAACAGTGTTCTGCTTGCTGTCCAGTTCCTCCAGCACCTTCACCAGGAAGACAGAGGTGTCCTGACCAGCCTCCATGCTTTAGGGTTTCAAAGGCTCTCCAAGGCCACTAGAACTTCGAACCAGGTCTGCAGCGACAATATTGAGAAAGAGCGGGGAGAAGAGGTTATAGACTGCAGTGGAGTTTTAAGACAAGCCTGTCGTGGGCCCCATGAAGAAATGCAAGGGAAACTTTAATAATGTAGTCAGAGCTTTAAAAATGTTTGTAATGTACGACCCTGCAGTTTCTTTCCCAGAATTCTACCTTGAAGAAATGGTCACTGACCACAGTTGACGCACAGAGATGTTCACCATGGCGGTATCTATATAGCGAAAAATAAAACCTAAGATAGTTCAGCGATGGGGGAACGTAGAAATGAAGCACGTTAGGAGATGTGTGACTTCGCACAAATGTTAAAATTAAGTTAGTGGACAGCCCTACCGCGGAACACTGCTCAGCAGCAACGAGGGACAGATTCCTTGCAGGGCACCAGAGTCCAGGCCGCACACTACACAGTTGCGTCTTAGCGACATTCTGAAAAACAGATTTGCAGCTGCCGGGGGCTGGCTATGAAGGGGCACGGAGATTTTCCAGGATGATAGAATCGTTTCATTGGGGTGGTGATTACCTGACTGTACGCGTTCGCCAAAACTCATAAAACCGTCTGCTAAAACGGATGTACTTTACTGCACGTAAATTATATGTCGGTTTGACAACTACACAGTGAAGACTTTTTATGACAAAAGAAAACTGTGATACAATATTGAGCGAAAAAATATAATCTGCGTATGGAGTAAGATCTTAATTCTATAATATATATTCTGGGAAATGAAAATGCAGGAAAATAATGGACACTAAAATGTACATTATTCCAGGGTGGTTCCATTTGGATTGTAAATATGGATTTTTGTTTCCGAATTAGCAGTCTGAACCTCAATATTGTATTATGCGAGTTTTCGAACATACAGCACAGTGGAAAGAATTTTATGGAGGGCGCGCGTATACCACCGTCTGGATTCTCCTGTTAACATTCCTCTGCTTCATCACATTCCACCCCTCTGTCCTTCCGCGAGCCATCGTATTTTTTAAAGTAAATTGCATACGTGCATCTTTCCTCTACACATCTCATCATGCGTATCGTTAACCCAACTTCAGTCACTGTTTACAGTTTTTCTTTTAATACGAGAGTTACGTGCGGTGAAGTACACAAATCTTAAGTGCATTTGCTGACGTTTTGGCAAATGGGTAGAAACCAAAACCATATAAAGAGCTGGGACGTTCCCACCTCCCCAGTAAGTTCTCCATGCCCCTTCCCATTCAGCTGTCATTCTTATTTGATTTTTTATAGATAACTTTTATTTTTTCTTTGTAATATTTCATCTTTTCTAAAATTCCTACAATGAACACAGGTTACTTTATAATCACCAAACGATAATAAACCTCACTTCGAAATGGAAGGACAAATGACTCTTGGAAAATCGAAACCGTCAAAGCAAAAGTGAACAGAATTTTGTAAGGGGAACTAAAGCTCCCTGGTGACAAACGCAGACCGGGTCCTGAGAGCCCAGGGAGATACCAGATTCCACAGGTGGCCCCCCCTCCACCCCCCCAGGCCACCTGCTTAGAGACGGCAGCCGACAGCCGACCTCTCGCTGACTGGGTGCTCAGCGGCCCAGCCCCTTCCGTGGGCAACAGCGTCTTGCCTTTGGGTCAGATGCCAGCCGCTGCCGGCCAGGTCCCCTCTCCGCCCCGAGGGCAGTGTCCCAGGGGACTGCCGTATGCACGGGCACGTGCTCTGCCCAGATGCTGCAGGGACACACAGACGCCACGGTCTGGGTCTCGTGTGGACAAGGCAACGGAGCCCCGAGCGGCTCCATCCTGCCCGGAACGCACCCCGGGAGGCGCCCCGCCATCGCACCGGCTGAGGAAGACACTGTGCGAGGTGACCTGCTTTGCTACGGGCAGGACAGTCTGTCACACTTGCACGGCAAGGGAACGCACGGGCACAGAAGGCAGCGCGGGTGAGCCAGTGCGGCCGAGGGAAAGCTGCTCCGAGTCGCCACGCCGACGTCACGCTCTGGCGACAGGCGCTTTCACCGGAGCTCCACCTGATCCCTCACCTCGGCCTCGCCGGCCGCCTCACGCCCGCTGCTGCGCTCTGGCAGGCCCGGGGACGTCCAGCAGCCCTGGGAGCTACGGGGGCCTCCCGGCCACGAGCCTCCCCGGAGACCCGTGACGCCCCCGCGAGGCTGCCCCGGCCCGTTGCTCTGCTTAGCATGGCTACAGCGCCACCAGTCCCTGGTCCGGAAACAGCTTTGGAAAGCCGAGGCCCAGCATCTCCTGAAGTGAATAAAGGGAACACAAGTGATGTGCCAAACCTGAGTCTTTTTTTGTCACAGCTGAAATTTGGGGGTTTCTGAATGGCCGGGGGTAGGCACGTGCCCCCCACGCTGACGGGTGCATGGGCACATGACGATGCGTCAGCACGGACAAACGCCACAGAGATTTTCCGCAACACGCCAGTGAACGGCACAGAGGAAGGGCGCCGCGGTGGGTGTCTGGCCTGTGTGACCATGTGATGGGACTCAGCCTGCGGGGTGGCCTCTGGCCAGCACGTCATGGACCACAGAACCAGCTCTGTGGTACGGGGAGGGCACTCCCAGTTTGCAGATGAGGAGACCGTGGGACTGAGGCGGGCAGTGACTATGCGGTCCAGAGAGGTGACGTGAGGAGCCTGGGGTCCAGTGTGGGTTAGGAGCCCCGGTCAACTGCGGACCAGGCCTGCGATGCTGTGGGAGGAGCACCAGGCCAGTCTCGTGCTGGGGGTGGGGCGCGTCCCCTGCCAAGTGACAGAAGGGGGCGGGGGGGCAAGGTG